AAAACAAATAAAAATTTCAAATAAATTAGAAATAAAACTAGTTTTTAGGCATACTTTGAACTACGTTTTTGAAACAGGGTCACATGCACTACACACACGCACGCACAGACACATGCATGTATGCAATATTCAGCAAAAACATATGCTTTACTTTATGACGCCGTTGCCATTAATATACACAAGATTGCGCCCAATTATGTCAAAGTCTATACATTAATGACTAAGTGGTTACAAATACAAAAAATACGCAAAAAGTCAACAACCAGCAGACGCAACCAAAGCTAGGACAGAATATAAACAAAGTAAAAAACTGGCATAACAAGATGTTCGCACATTGGAATCTTCATTTTAATAATTCTTGAACGTGTTTTTACAAACCTACACAACCTACGTCATTAAACGAACAAACAAATGCCCACCTGCAGAGAGATGCCTACTAGCTAAGGTGTGTGTACGATACGTAAACGTGTTTGTAATCGAAAAATGAATGAAATATCTTAAGCATCACAATCAGCTTAAAGGTATGCGTATAAAAAAACCCGTCACAAATACAATCATAATCAACGTGAACATCATCGTCATCATTATCCTCATCATCACCGAGCTCATCATTATTGTTGCTATACATTTATTGTTAAAGGTAACACGTTTTTCACTCTTAAGAATAAAAGACGTAAAACAACCGTTAACTTCACAAAAAGAATTACAAGAAATAGCAACAACTATATAAGATAGGAAAAGCTTTAAGTAAACGCATACAGTCTACAGAAAACTCTCAGCTATGAAAAACAACTTCTCTAAAAGCTTTGCTTATTTTCCATGTGCTCCGTGAAGACAATGAATTCCTCCAAGAGTCTTTCCAGTGAATTTTCCATCTAACCAAACATAAAACACTTTAACTAAAACATAATAAACATTAGAGAAGAGAAACAAGCGTTTCTCTAGAAGTTGAGAGTGTTCGATATGTTTGCGATACTCATTAACATTAACTAACGACCAAAGACTTAAGACACAAACCTGTTATTCTTTTGACGGGAAATTAAAAGCTATGAATTAAATGCAAATTACATTCTAAGTACATACATACATATGACATATAAGTGGTTACATTCATATATATGTTGATGCAGCATAAAACAAAACCGTAGCTGGGCTTTATTTGAAGAGGGAGGGAGCCCGTTTGAAGGAAATTGGGGAAAGTTGATATTGGTCTTCAAGTACAACTAGCCTATCAATGGGATTGCATTTTCGCACGCAACATCTCCATTCTTTATCATTTCCTTCCATGTACTGTTTCTGTACTGTGTCACAATATCCGAAAACTAACTAACACACCAGGCGGTCAAAGCTGTCTATCTAGCCTGCCTTTTAAAATAACCCAGCCGATAATCTTGGTGGATAGTGCTCATCCTAGCTTTCAGTCCTAGAATTTATTTTGTCGATCTAAATAAATTACAATAACGACGATAATAGTAATAATAATTGTTTTAGCTAGAGGACAGTGTTATTGGATCCGAACTGTTAAGCTGGAATTGCGCCCATAAAGAACTAGTTTAGGGTGAAAATGACGAAATTCATTTCGACTACGGGATGATTATTCTATGCCTTCCGTAGGATTAAAAGGCAGATTTATGTTTCTATCGTCTGGGAGACGTTAAAGTCGAAATTTCAAGCGAACTATTACCAGAACTAAAAAATTCCGTTCTCAAATCTTCAGACGTCTTCAGAAAAGGTTGTTAAGAGATTTCAAGACATTCATGCCACCAAAATATGATTAGCTTTGGTTCTCAAAGAAGTCCTTGAATAATGCTCAGTAAACACCGCAAGCCCCATTTGATTACCTAGAAGCGATAGTAGAAGAAGAGATTTTATGAACTTCTTAACCAATGATAATAAATCCATTACCATAATTGAAATCGATTTTTAGTTACACTCTGTGTAATTTCAATAATACCTTATCTATATCTAATCAACAAAAGATTTTTAATAAATTTGGAGTTATCTCTTTTTCTTTCAACTCACTCAGGCGATGTTCCCTAAATGTGCAATGCGACGACGGTGTGGACAATGCGAAGGAAAACCATAGGAAATTGTCGCAGCTTAGTTGGTATGGACGCCCAATCGTGTCGCTTTTCCGTCTTAGCACCCACTGTAACCACGACGATGTATATTCAAACCGCGGTAAGATTTGAATTCGCATATATCAACTCGGTGTTCGCGACAGTTATCTGCTCGGTGGGCCGTCTGTCTACCTAAATTTAAATCGCTTGTATTTACTCTTAAATAAATATCTGAAAACAGGAATGATGAGCTCCCCTTGGTAGTTAAAAGACTGAAGACTGAGCCAATTGATCAAACCAATCCTTTTATATATATTTTCTTTAAAAAACCTAAGTTAAGTCAGAGAGTTAAAAAACAGGAATCCAATAGGATTGGTGAATAAGTTTTTGAATTAGTAAGCGTTTACATATATCAAGGTCACTTATCATATATCAAGATAGGACTCAGCCGCGATTTTCACTCATTAGTCCACGCCAAAGGGGACGATTTAAGAATTCTGAATGGACAAAGGCGCTGGTTGATAAGAGACATTACAGTTAAAAGAGGGCGGTGGGATGGTCCACGACAATGATTGCGACGCACACCAATACAACAGCAGTGTTTCTCACCGTGCCTCACCAGGTCTATATGATTTGTTTTGTTATGCTTTATATCTTTAAAAATATTGAAAACCAGAAACTCAGTGTGTTCTCAGATCAAGATTACAAATGGATCTCAAAATTTAAAATGAAAATATTTTCCACCAGGTCACACTACAATTGCCGACATTCTAAGTTGATCAATGTACAACAATTACTAATAAAATTTTATTATTGATTTCATGTAATAAACAATTGAAGTGTTGAGAAGAAAGGACTAAGAAACAGCTGACTACATAGTGGTTCCTTAGTCTTAACTCCTTCCGAGTTCTACGCTCCTGCGATGCACTCAAAGCTAATTACTCTGCAACGCAAACAATTTCAATATTGAACTTGTTGTGATTTCTCATATACTTCGCAGCGAGTTTGAAAAAAGTGCTTTCTAAAATTTCTATAAAATCAATTCTATTGTCTTATTATGAAACTTTATTAATCAATTTTAATCTCATTAAAAATACTCGACCATTATTGGCATCGTATAGCAAAAAGTGAAGGTTTCTTTGCCGTCTCGAAGTGCCATAAAAAATATAGGCCACATGTGTAGATCGGAATAGGAATTGTTAAAGCATAATTAAATTAAGGAAAACGATTTGCTTCAAAACTTTTAGAATTGATACACACAGTCTATATCTCTCTCAGTGTTTCTTTTCGTCTATCTTACTTTCCCTCTCTGGCTTTCTCTCTTCTGCATGAGGCTCTATGAAAAGTTGTGTTGTTGTGTTGGAAAAATGAATCCAATATTTTCTTCATGGTTTCTTAGTCAATAACTCAATTGCAAGAGAAACTATAAATGAATTTTTCCCTCTCTTTGAATGTTGAGACGAGATGAGAAAAAAAAAAAAATTGGCAGAGATCATAGACTTGGCGGCTCTTTGCAAAAATTTAACTTTCATTCATTTGTAGCATATGTGTGTTGTATGTTTACCTTGTCTTGTCTGCTTTTAGTTATTTATTTTTTTTTTTTTTTCTGTAACGTGCAGCTATGGGTAAATCATAGAACACAACAGCGGCAAGCTTTCAGGAGCGGCTATAGACAAATGAAAAAGAGCATATATTGTAAGTGAGTGGTAGCAGCAGCAGTGGTATGGTCCAGTCAACTTATTATTTTTATTAGATTTGAAACTACTTTTATATGATTTTTTTTTTTTTCTTTCTTTCTTATATGCACATATGTGTGGAAACGAGAAATAAAACAGAAAATTAAAGATCAAACCAGAGCACTAAAAGCAAAAAGGAAAAAAAGAAAAAAACTAACAGCAAAATAAAACGAGAGCTTAGTTAAACTAGCAACAGCAGCGACAACCTGTGCTCTAGTCAAACATGATTCATAACTTAAAAAAAAGAAAAACAAAAATAGTAAATGTATTATAATAAACAGCTCGACGACAATAATGATAATGATGATGATGATGATGATAATGATGTTTGTTTATGTTTATATGTTTCTGCAATATCCGTTATGAAAACTGCGAAAGTCAAACGCTGAATGGTGGTAAGGCTGTTTGTTATATTATCATTTCATTTTGAGCTTACTGTTGCTTGCTCTATTGCCAGCAGGTAGCAACCGGTGCAGTTGCCGTTAGTACTGCTGCTGCTGCTGTTACTGCTGCTGCTGCTGCTGCTGCTGCTGTCGTTATTGCTAACGTTGCTGCTAACGTCATCCGTCAGACGTTGGCTAAACGATTTGCTTCGCTTGCCTCGACTTGACTGGATTGGAATGGATCGGAGTTGAGTGACTTGAATTTGGGAGATTGTTGTGTTTGTTGCTTGAGGTTCATTCAGAAAGTTTTATATATTCATTCGTTTAGCATTTGAAATTCAGTTTGGTGCTTAAACGCGGGCCGCGAATTTCATTCTCTGGATTTAGCTGAAAACGTAAATGGCGTTTAATGTGGATTAATTTTGTTAGCCAAACCGAACGAACATAACTGTAAATTGGATTTTCATTATATTTCACTATTTGGCCGTTAAGACATAACAACAACATCAGTGCTCAAGAAGCAGTCAATTGAAGCGCTGCTCATTCGTTGTTCAAGAGTCGAAAAATCTTTTGCAAAAATTTCAAGAAAATCGTAAAAAAAAAAAGAAGAAATCGCTACAAAAAGAAATAATTCATAATTAAAGAAAATCGAAATAAATAAAAAAAAAAAATCTCAATGATAACCAGTTAAAAAAGTGTTTTCATCAAAATATAACAAAAAAAAAAAAATATTACGGAAAAAAGCAAAAGAAACGGAAACAAAATTATAAGAAATAATATAAAGTAAAAAAGAAGGAAAAAAGATTTTAAGAGCGATATCAATTTGGAATTTAATTATAATTAAATAAAGAAAAATGATGCCGTTCAAGTGGAAATATTCAAGAAATTTTCAATTTCCCTTTTCCCTCTTACTCCTACTGCTGACAATTATTGTGGATTTACTTGCCATCGAAGCCGTACGTATAGCCGGGCCACAAGCACCACAGCGTCTAAAAGGTAGGATAAGTTTTTATAAATTCCGTTTTACTTCGTCGAATCAGGAATGAAAGGAAAAATAAACCTATTCTGCCTTACAGTTCAGTACACAATAACTATTCACCTAACGACTTTTCAAAATAAGACATAATATCGATGGAAAAGTAGTCCGACCCTGATTATTATTATAGCGTTCGTCCTTGGACCAAAAGAAGTTAGTCCATCAAGTATATCCCAAAAATTGCGATCTGTCTGATCTTAGGTCGTTTCCGCACAAACTTAATACACCCTTGTACAACAAGTGGTGTAGGGCATTGTAGAGAAATGAATAAACGGCCTTTTTTTTCCTTTCTAATGAAAAAAATTAAAAGAAACCTTTCAAAGTGTTTTAAGCATTTATTTATTTATTTTTTTTATTTATTTATTTTTTTTTTTTGAAGAAAACAAGTAGTGAGAGCAAATCGTTTCGTAGCTTGATCAAATAACTCTATAACCTGCAATGATTTGTTTAATTTCTAATAAGAATTGAATAATGAAATAATTAAAAGTAAATTAAATTCATAAAAAATACATAAAAGTAAGACAAAAATCTTATCTAAAAAATTATCAATTTTGCAAAAATAAAAAAAAAAAACAAGAAAACGACACAAGTAAAATACGGAACTTGAGTATATATACATTGCCTCAAACCGTTATTCGTTGGTTGTTGCCGAGCCATCGAACTTATAGAAACCGTTTTCAAGCTACACGCGTGCTTTTAGCGAGCCCGATTCGAACCATTTTTCAGAGCGTTCGCCTTTCGGCCAACAGATGTCGAGGCAAAAAAATTTTATCAAAACTTCTTAAAAATTGCCACATTTAAATTGCGTGCAAAAAACAAAGTGGACAGACGGACAGACAAGCTTATATCGCTTCATAAACCGACTAGGTATAATTAAAATCGGGTCTACTTCAAGTCAACCTCATATGCCCTTATAAAAATTATTCTATTACCTAGACACCCTTATAATATATTATGTATAGGCAAGTCGCCTAGAGCTTTTTTCACTACTCCACCTTTCTAAGAATATTTTCGTAAACATATTAATATTAACGTAAGATCATAAAACTCGATAGAGTTACTCTGAAACTTTTCTATCACTTCTGTGTGCCATATTTATATAATATGCTATTAATATGTAGCATGGGAGTTTAGAAGTTTGCTTTGAAATCATTTTAATGAATAAAAATTTTACTAATTTATATTTGAGACCCGTTATAAGGTACGCGACGTAGCAAATTTTGTTATGAAAAAATTGTTCGATCAACAAACATGTTTTTAATTATTCAAATTCATGTTATCAAGCTCAGTCATCAAGAAGAAAAAAAAAAAAACGTTACAAACTACACCTCGTTATTGTAAATAATTTGCCAAGTCTTCCAAATTCATTCATTACAAGTGAGGCTTTATCAAAAATTGTTCAAAACTTTTGAATATTTACATAAAAAACGCAATAGTACACCTGTATTGACACTTGTGTAAAATATTAACGGTTAATCAAGCGTTGATAGCTGGTTGAATAAATAATGGATTAAACCGTACAACGACGTTATTTGCTTACTTAGGCGACAAACTTGAATGTTAGGGTGTTAAGACACACTCCATATTTACGTACATACATTTATGACTTTTTTTATAGAATGCAGTTTACGATAAGATTAAAGAGGCAAGGTTGTGCAGAGAGACATACATGAATTAAAATCAAATGTAATGTTTTATAGTAATAATGTCAACACTTAATGCATTGCTAATAATTTAATAAGAATTTTGAAATAAATCTATAGAAAAGTTTACTATTAAATATGTTTTAATAATATTAAAATTATATAGAAGAATACGAATACAATAAAAATTAAAACAAAATAAAATAAAAAAATTGAATGAAAGTTCTATAAAAATTATAAAGAATATAAATAAAGCAATAAAATAAATTTATAAAATGAAATAAACTAAAAAAAAATATATATATATATATATATTTTATATATATATATATATAAACATTTTTATATATATATTTATATATATATATAAACAATATAAACATAAAGTAAAATAAGACAATAATATAAAATAAAATCAAAGCAATAACATAAGAGTATGAAAAAAAAAATGCATTAACGAAAAATAGTATTAATAATAAAATTAAAAACATGTAAATATAACAAATAAAATAAATTAATGAAATAAAAATGTAGCAATAAAATGAAATAAAAATAATAAAACTTTAAAAATTTAATTATCGTAAATTAAAATAAAACGACATAAGTATAACAAAAATTTAAAAAAATATTTAAAATGAAATCACGAAAAAAATTTTAAAAAATAAAATTTTAAAAATATATATATACATTCACGATATAAAATAATGGTAATGAAATTAAAATTTTAAAATTGAAATAAAACCCTTAAAACAAAAATCTAGTGATAAAATGGAATAATAAAAATATAATTTAAAAGTATACATGAAAAAATATATAGGAAATAAAAGAAAAAGTAACAAATTTAAAAATCTAAAATAAAACAATAAAATAATACAATACCAAATTTGAATTTAATTTAGTAAAATATAAATATAAAATAAAAATATAGTAACGATATAAAATTATAATAAGTAAAACGGCATAAAGTAAAATAAAATAAAACCTATTAAGAGACTAAGATTTCCCTTTGGCGCGCAAGTGTTAAGCACACCTCCTTAAGACTTCCTTACATGACTATATTTAACTTACATAATTTATTGTTAATTGTAGGCGGACATAGTTTTGTACTAGACTGGTAAGGGTCCGTGGAATAGCTCTGATCGAAAGCTGCTGTTATTCTGAAGTTATTAAGGTCAAAACCGTAACACATAGATAGAAGGTTAATCGCAAATGGAAATGCTTACAATGGGACCAAATACAAACACTTCTCTCCGCACTAAAATATACAAAAAAAAAAAAAAACAAAAAATAGCTGGCATATCATGCTGCTTTTCACGTCTTTTGTGCTCATAAGCTTTTTTTTCGCTTCGTATTTTTGCACGCCTCCAACTAGTTTCGCAAATTTAGTAAATCTCCCTTAGTAGATGTGCAAATTAACATACACGTATAAATTAATTGAAAAATTCTTGCAAAACCTTGTTCATTTTATCTTAAATACATTAAAAAAATCCGTTTAACAGTCTAGCTATGTCCAATTTTGGCATGCGTTTAAAACCGCATGTTCATATCAAACAAGAATTAATTAGAAACAAAATGTCCAGACACGTTTTAAAGCGCACTTTAAATACCCATCACTATAGATAAAGTAATCACTGCTCCTAGCTAGAGTTACATTATATCGTGACCCATTCTTTTTTCCTACCCTTTTGACAAATTTATAGCTGATATAATGCATACGATATAAATGAGATAATTTCGTAGAAATTTGTGCTTTAAAATTATTTCTTTCTTTTTTTTGGGGTTTTTTAAGTTTTTGTTTTATTTTTTTAATGCAATTTTGACGGATTTGTTTTATTTTTATACATGACCTACGGAAGTCAACTACAAAAGATGACGCAGCAATTTCTAACTTTCCGTTATAACTTTGATCGCTTTGAAAGCTAAACAATCAGAATGACTCACAAGTCTATGCTCTGACTAAGCATATTAGCAATTGAAGAAAATCTAATAATTGTCACGAACAGTGTGAGAAAATTAATATATCGGTCTTCTTGCTCAGGAAGGTATAACAAGATTAATGAGCTACTTCTCGGTAATTAAGCCACTATTTTCAGTAATACAATAAATCAATCAAAGCTAAAACATATGTTTGAAAAACAAAAAAAAAAACAGAATTTCTTCTCTATGGCTTGGCACGGCAATTAATGCACGCCGTGTTTTTTTTTTTTTTTTTTTGTTTGTTTGTTTGTTTTTTTTGTTTTCTGTTGGCTTTGTTTTGTCTTGTCAACCTATACATTTACATATCTTCACTTTAAATGACAGTGACGAGTAGTTAATTTAATTATAATAAAAATATCATTAATGGTTAAGCTTATTAGTTCAGAAAATATAATTAATGTTTTATTTTGACTTTATTTTTTATTCGAAAACGTGTTATTCGTGCAATTGTCAAGATTAAGTTTTCTTGAATTACTATGATGACCAGACGTTGCTGTAATGTGCCTTCCCACACAGCACAGCAGAGAGGTGTTGGTGAAACGTAACTTTTATTGTCCCGCCATCGCCATTATTCGCATCTTCTCTCACCTCTACTACTTTCGAATTTCTCTCTACAAAATTCCGAATCCCCGAGTAGAAGAATATACTTTTATACCGTACATCACTTGCTGTACAAGGTAATGCTAAGTTCATGCGGTTACATACAATACCCAGGAGAGCTTGAGATAGACGCATTACTATATCGCTTACTAAACTTGTCTGTTCATCTGTCTAGCTGTCCGTCGTGTTTTCTTGTATTTAACTTATAGGCCGCAATTTTTGACATAATTTTATGAAATTTAGTACACTGACATGTTGTGGTCCATTTTTTTTGAGAAGTCATTATATGAGTAACAGTATTAAGCAAACGTAGACGTAGGGTATTTAATGGCGATCCTTATCCCACAATACTGTTTTTACTTGCTTTCATACAATTAACAACTGAAGGCATTGGCTTTTGAAATATTTTGTACACGTAACCGTAATACAATTGGTATGTAGGCAATGAACGCCATAACATCCACGATGAGACAGATGCAATTTTTCAAGCAATTATTATCAATTATTATATTAAAGTTATATAAAAAGCTTCCAAGTTAAAATTCCATGGTATTTAAACCGAACGCTACGTCATTCACATCAATCACTGGGCTACATTTGAATCTCAATTAGGGTACAACCAAAGGTACGAAGAAAAAAAGTCATTCGTTTAGAAAAACCCGCGCAGTTTCAATAGGAAAGCCACTCTACTTTTCGATTGCTACGTCATGATGGGAAAATTTGTTGAATAAACATTTTCT